CACCTGCCAAATGCAACACTCAGCCATGGGGCAGGGCACATCCCCCATGCATGCTCCCCATGCGGCACCCTGAAGCCACGTGCCACACCCACCCTGCGCACCACCCCCCCCACACACACCATGCCCCCAGGCACAACAGGAGCACAGCAATGGGGTGCGTGGTGAGGGCAGGGCACATGGCCGCAGGGTGCCACAGGGTGCAGGGAAGGGGCATGCAAGGAGTGGGCAGCGCCTGTCACCTGTAGCACGCAGGGTGGGGCACGCCCCACATGCCCAATCCCTGCTCGGCACCCTGTGGTCATGTGCCCACCCCCGGTGGGGAGCACCAGCCATCTGCGGGCTGTGGAGAGCGCGTGGCATGGGGGTGTGGGTGCATGGCTGCAGGCAGTCCCAAGAGCAGCACCCAGCAGCTGCAGCAGCCACATGCCACATCCCTGCCTACACTCCATGCCCCGCCACATGCTGTGCCACACACCCCCAGATGTGGAGCACCCACCAGCTGTGGCTGTGGGACACCCAGGGTGTGGGGGGCATGGCCGCAGATTGCTGCAAGGGTAGCAGGCACAGGGGGTGCAGGCAGCGCCCACCAGCTCTAGCACATGGCTGCAGAGTAAGGTGTGCCCCTCATGCCTGCTCTCAGTGCAGTACCCTGAAGCTGCATGCCACCCCCCCAGGCACCACACCCCCCGCACGCCCTCTGCCACACCCCAGGACCACACCATACGCCACGTGGTTGCAGCCAGCGGGCACTCCTCACACCTTGGCCATTCCCCATGCCATGCACCCCCCCTGCCACACATCTGCACACTATGTCCTCCCGTGTACTCTGTGCAACACCCCAGGGCAAAGCCCCACACCACACAGCCACAGCCAGCAGGTGCCCCCCCTGCCATGGCCGCTCCCCATGCCATGCCCCGTAGCCATGCCCCCATGTGCTCTGCACCACACCCCGGGGCCAGTCCCTGTGCCACTTGGCTGCAGCCAGCAGGCACTCCCCATGCCATGCCCTGGGGCCACATGACCCCCCTGCCCACAGCCTCACACCACATTTCCCTGCGCAGCCTGTGCAACACCCCAGGGCTGCTCCCCACACCACGCAGCCACAGCCAGCAGGTGCTCCCTGCGCCATGCCCTGTGGCCATACACTACCCCCCCACCATGCAGCCATACACATCCCTGTGCGCCCTGCACCAGACCCTGGGGGCGCTACCCCACCCTCGTGCAGCAGCAGGGGGGTGGGGAAGCAGGGATAGACTCAAAACGGTGATGGGAAGGGGGGAGTAGGGCTGGACCCAGAGCAGCAGGGGGACGACGTGGGGCCAGACGTTGGTCTCTGTCCCCAGGTCCCCGTCTCCCCTCCCCATCATTCACAACAGGCATTTTGCTAGTTTATATATAAACTTTATAAGGTAAGAGCGCAGCTCCCATTAATTTAACACACAGTTGCATTTAAAGTTAAGAACCCCAAAAATGTATGCACTAAGGCTGGATGAAAATATGTTGAGCTTTCAGGTTTTCTTGTTATCCACAATGCAGAAAAAGGTCAAAATTTCACAAACCAGCCACTAAAAAAAAAAGTTTGCTACAGCTCCAGCCTTTTTCTAAACTTTAGTCTAAATTACTAAAATTAGAAACAAAAAGTCATTTTGACTCTCAAAACTCAAAATTTTCCATTAGAAAATTGTACTTTGACAACTTCAAAAGGAATTTCCCTTTTTCAAGTTGGCTGATATGTTCAAAGCAACCTTATTTCACCAACAGCTTGGGTTTCAATGATTCCCAGCTAGCTCTTCAAAATACAGTTTGTGGCTACTTGTGAAAAGTTTGTTCTGGCTTATTGACTTGTCCATCATTCATCACACAGGAACTCTATGTGAATTCACTTCTTCAGGGTGGCATTAAACGGCCTTAAAATTTAGGTCACCACTTCTCCTGAAATCCTATGCTTTCCTTCCTGATACACCTTCAAAATTTTGCAGCTAGTGAAACTGAGATCCTACAAACAATTTCAGACAGTACAGTCCTAATTACCCAAGTCTGGCCTGTGTAATGAATGAGGGAAGTAGTAAGCCCTTTTTCTCTTCTCATTAGATATCCTTAGAGCCATCGTCCCACTTTTTTATCTGGTCCAAACAACTATAGCTCTATTACACTGAGCTTAAACAAGCATGTCTTAACTAATAAGACAAGATAGGGCTTGCATTTTGTACTAGCTGATCCTTAGGGCCTTCGATTTGCTCTGTCAGTACAACTGGGCATAGCTGTCACCAGGTGTCTAAATTCTACCATTAAAAGGGTCTTTTAAGAAGTTTTATCATTCAATTATGAGAATTTCATCGGTTCTAAGTTTTCACTTATAAGACATGTATCATACAGATCATATATATTTATTAATCACATTTCTGTAGTGCGGCTTACCTTCATAGAAGCTGTGTGTTGTGAGCACATGCCTTCTCAATTATGAAAACATTACCAAGCCAAGAAAATCTATTACAAGTGTGTCAAATACCACCTGCAACTGTTAAAGTGGCTACTTTAGGGATGCAAGTGATTGTTTAATCCACATTTAAGGGTCCAGCTAATAGGAAGGGCATGCTAAAATAGTCCATTGTAAATGAGGAAGCTCAAAGAAAGATGTTCAGTGGACAGTAAGTATGCAGTTGATGATACAGCTCTCCCAATGAAAGGGGGCAAAGGTGGTTGCATCAGAGGAGAAAGCGGACCTCTTTAACCAATTCTTCACCTCCGTTTTCTTGTGCAGGGACCGGGACTTCCCTGCTGTGATAGAAGCCGGACTCGAGGGGATCGCCTTCAGACCTCAGGTTGGGGAGGACCGGGTTAGAGAGCTTCTGGAGGGGCTGGACGCGTTCAAGTCAGCGGGTCCGGATGCTCTCCACCCCAGGGTGTTGAGGGAGCTAGCTGGGGTTATTGCAGGGCCCCTGGCACGGCTCTATGAGCGATCGTGGTGCTTGGGCCAGGTGCCAGATGATTGGAAGGTAGCAAATGTGGTCCCCATCTTCAAGAAGGGGAAGAGGGAGGACCCGGGCAACTATAGGCCCGTCAGTCTTACCTCAATCCTGGGGAAACTCTTTGAGAAGATCATCAAGGAGCACATTTGTGATGGGCCGGCATCAGAAATGATGCTCAGGGGCAATCAGCATGGATTTATTAGGGGGAGATCATGTCAGACCAACCTGATTGCCTTCTACGATCAGGTCACAAAGGCCATGGATGCAGGTGTCGCGGTGGATGTAGTCTTTCTGGACTTCAGCAAGGCCTTTGACACCGTCTCTCACCCCATCCTAGTTAAAAAACTAGGCGACTGTGGCATAGATGCCTACACAGTCAGATGGATTGCAGATTGGCTGAGGGGTCGCACTCAGAGGGTGGTGGTGGATGGGTCATATTCGACCTGGGGGGAGGTGGGTAGCGGAGTCCCCCAGGGCTCGGTCCTGGGGCCTGCGCTGTTCAATTTCTTCATCAGCGATCTGGATGATGGGGTGGAAAGTAACCTGTTTAAATTCGCTGATGACACCAAAATTTGGGGGGAGGTGAGCACGCTAGCAGGGAGTGAGAGATTGCAGAGGGATCTGGATAGGTTACAGGGGTGGGCTAACAGGAACAGGATGCGTTTCAATACGGACAAGTGCAGGGTGCTGCACTTGGGCAGTAGGAACCAGCAGCACACTTACACAATGGGGAACTCCCTACTCGAGAGCACGGAGGCAGAAAGAGATCTTGGAGTCATTATTGACTCCAAGATGAACATGGGCCGACAATGCGAGGTCATGGTTGGCAGGGCTAACCGGACCTTGTCGTGCATCCACAGGTGCATCTCGAGTAGAGCCAAGGAGGTGATCCTCCCCCTCTACGCGACGCTGGTCAGGCCACAGCTGGAGTATTGTGTCCAGTTCTGTGCGCCCCATTTCAAGAGGGATGTGGACAACATGGAGAGGGTCCAGAGGAGGGCCACCCGCATGATCCGGGGACAACAGGGCAGACCCTACAGTGAGAGGCTGTGGGACCTGAACCTGTTCAGCCTCCACAAGAGAAGGCTGAGGGGGGACCTGGTGACCGTCTATAGACTCACTAGGGGGGACCAGAAGGGTTTGGGGGAGACGCTGTTTCCCCTAGCGCCCGCTGGCATAACAAGGAGTAATGGGCACAAGTTGATGGAGAGGAGGTATAGATTGGACATCCGCAAGAACTACTTCACAGTTAGGGCGGCTAGGAGCTGGAACCAACTTCCAAGGGAAGTGGTGCTGGCCCCTACCCTGGGGGTCTTTAAGAAGAGGCTGGATGCCTACCTGGCTGGACTCATTTGAGTCCCGTTTCTCTTTTTGGGGTTTTTTGTTGTTCTCCCGCCCTGGCGGGGGGTCGGGCTAGAAGATCTACTAGGTCCCTTCCGACCCTTAATCTATGAATCTATGAATCTCTGACTGGGGTATTAAAGCTTTCTATTTGATAATCAGATGGGGGGGTCTGGTAAAGGGTACTGAGTTAAGTGACTACATACAAAAGACAGGTTTGAGCAATTAAATTCTAAATAAAGCTGCCTGGGAAACTGATGTCTTGATTTATGATTTAAATACTCAGAAAATGTGTGGAACTGAAGTCCCAAGACACTTTGTTCTGGAAACTCCATGAAGTTCTTACTGAAACTGCCATGATGGTCGTCACTGTCACTGTTGTCTGCTCACACGTAACGGGGGGGACTGACCCAATGGGAAAATCTGCTGCTTCTTCTAAGGCTAGGGGAAAATCCCCTTTCAGTATAAGTAGCCCCCCTTCTTTGTCTATGAACCTGGGGGAACCTGAGTTTTGAAAGTACTGTACGTATGGACTGAGTAGACAGTTATTATGGTTGAGATAAATTCATTTCTTCTTGATATCTTGTAATTGGATGATTGCAAAGGTTTACAAAATCCAGCATAACGTAGCACAATACAACACACTATAAAACTGCTTTGGTTTTAAGCCAATTATGTGGTGAGAAAAATAAGGCTGACATGACTTGCCACATAAGGGAAAAAAATCATTTCCCAATTAGTTTCATATATTTTTGGCTAAGAAGTTTTCTCATGAGTCACAAATCATTTTCTTATGGCATCAGTAGCCTTATTACATATGCAACTAATTTTCTGTTGTGATTTAAAGCAGTAACAAAATGAAAAATTGTGATATCTCTTCTGGCATTCAATTAGGAGAAGATGCAATGTTTTTTCTTCACTTTACAAAACACCAGTAGGTACCAGACATCTCAGAAAAAGAAAAACAGTTTTCTGACTTCAACTGGCAATAAAGAAGGGGCTAATGAAGAGGATTCAATAGCTCTG